TGAGGCTGAAAATGAGTGTGACGGCATTTGGTCCAGGGTCGAATCCTTTGGTCACGGCGCCAACGGTGACGTCGCTCCTCCGGGTCGCTCCTTGCTGTCCCAAGTGTGACGTTCCAACCCCTTGGTTAGATGATTACCAGCCTCGCCTTTCCCAACTCGCTTCCAACACCTGGTTACCAGGGTAACTGTACTGATCTCCGGTCTGCCTACCCACGTTGTGATTAGATCTTAGACAGACGGGATCAAACAGGGATTGGGGCCGCATGCAAGCTGAGTTCGACGGGGGTGGCAAAACACAAGTAAAAGAAAAAAAACTCACGAGACCAAAAATTACTGATAAAAAAGGGTAACAACCTTTTATATCTAATGTTCGTTACATAAAAATTATTCTTACTTCCCGACCCGCTTTGTGGACTGTGGCACCAAGCTTCTATCATACAACTTAAAGACTTCGAGTTGCCTACTCTCTAGAATTTTGTGTGTCGGAGTGTGGTTTAGTTTTGACACTGGGCGCTAATCTCTACCAGTCGTTCACGGCTGATTCTTCTCTTCGGCTTGAGTTGGACGTATTTCTTCACTTCGATTTGGTTTGAGACGAAGTTCTGTTCTTGGGCTTGGTTTGATTTCAACTTCTTCTATGCATAACTGCAAGTAACTTCTTCTTCTTCCGTCCTGCAACTCTTCTCTCTGCCGTCTGAGGTGATCTGAGCTCTCTGTCGTCCGGGGCTGAACTGAGCTCTCTGTTTGGCCTGCAACTTTACTCTCTGCCGTCTGAGGTGGACCCTTCTCGCTGCCGTCCGGGGCTGAACTGATCTGCTTGTTTGGCCTGCGACTTTACTGCCTGTCTGGCCTGCAGCTCTTCTTCTTGTCTGGCCTGCAATTCTTCGGCCTGTCTGGCCTGCAGCTCTTCTTCTTATCTTCGACTTGGCTGCAACTTCTCTGCGGCTTTCGAGCAATCTTCTTCTTCTTCGACTTGGGCTGGGAGGCGCATACCCATCTCTCCCGGTCTCTCGTATGTCAGGTGACCGTTTCGACCAATGGGTCTTGATCGAGCGTCCTTTCTCCTCTTTCTCGCATATCACGTGACCGCTTTCGGCCAATGAGATTCTGGTTGGGCGTCTCCCGTACTTCGTGACGTCTCCAATCGGGCGTGGCTTATCCCGTCGTTGTCCTGGGAAAGAACACCTTGCTAAAAAAAACAAAATCTAATTTGGCCTTTTTCGCACGTACGAAAAATGACAATCTCGGCCTTTCTCACCTTCCTGGTCTCTGTCAAAACAGCCCGCCGCTAATTAGATGTGACTTCAGGAAGAATTTTCTCCGTCTTACTGGCGCTCTCTGTGAGCCAAGAACAATCGTTTTTCACCTCTTTGCTTTTGCTCAGACCTGATAGTCAAAAATCTTAATTATCTGAATTGAAAATGTCTTCACTTCATCATCGTGGGGTTCCAATTTTTAACAGGTCAGAATCTGTATACAATTCCAGCGGTCACCTTCTCATCCCAAAAGACACCTTTCTCCGATTAATATTTCGTTTTCCATTGTTCTAAAAATCCCATTTCTCCAAATTGATAATGAGTCTTCTACACAAAAGTAGGCCAGATGCTTTGACCGACATTTTTATCAATCGTACATATGTTCATACACTTTTACGAAGCCTGTTTTCTTTCTTTCTTTTAATTACCTTTAATTCTATTCTCTCAAATAACAATCTCCATTGTCACTTGAAATTCGGTCGGGCGCGTTGGCCTCTTGACACCTGTTTTCGCTAATGACCGGCCTTTTGCATTACTCATTTTCTTTTTCTTTTTTCCTTCTTTTTTTTCTTCCCTTAGGATCGCCTAAGTACAATTAGAGAATTATTCTCGAAACTCAATTATTCTTCGTCTAAAAAACTAACAACTGGTTAATAAACCGAATAAAAAAAATTAAATCATATTTCTATGAATATTTCTTTTCTTTAGTTTTTTTCTAATAATGCAGGGTGCCACAGAGGGTTTGAAGGGGTAAGCTTCAATGTCTGATCAGTTCAAAGGTGATATTGTTTGGGCCTGGGGAACTTCCTTGATCTCTCTCTCTCTCTCTCTCTCTCTCTCTCTCTCTCTCTCTCTCTCTCTCTCTCACACACACATACATACATACATATGGTCTGGGGCACCTTCTGTTTACCACTGAGTTCTTGACATGATCCAGAGACGGATATTTAATATAATTGACCCTGATTTGGCATCTCGTCTACAGTCACTCTCTCACAGACGCGCCGTCGCCTCTCTCTGTCTTTTCTACAAATACTTTCATGGTAATTGCTCCGATGAGCTGCTTTCACTGGTTCCCAGACTTCATGAATTCAAGCGCCCTACGAGGCTGGCATCCCGCTCTCACCCTTACACTGTAGAAACTTTTAAATGTAACCGTCTCTTCTACTCCAATAGCTTCATACCTCGCACCTCTCGCCTGTGGAACACTCTTCCCAATTACTGTCTCCCTGAGAGCTATAATCTCCAACTATTCAAATGTAATGTCAATCGACATTTCCAGTTACCTTGATCTACCCACTATCCTTCTCCTCATCCTTTCTTCTATCACTCCTATCTGCTCGCGCTCCAAATCCTCTGCAACCCCTGCATCCTAGTGGCTTCACGCCTTGCTCGGAGCGTAATGCTTAAAAAAAATATGTATGTGTGTGTCATCCACAGACAGACTGCTTCGTTGTATGACAGCTCATCAGTGTGGGTACAAAGCAGTGCTCAATGTAAATTTACAGAGCATAAATTAACTGATTTAAAGATATGGTTCCATCGCTATACAAGAATTACCATGTTTCAAAAAATTAATTTATATAATTAAATTAAAACCACAAGTTCTGTTTCATTTTCAAGCTTTTAATTTAATTATATAATTGAATTTGAAGTTGTTAGTTTCTGTTTTTTGAAACATGGTAATTCCTATGTATCGATGGAACCATATTTTTAAATCGGTTAATTTATAATATATATATATATATATATATATATATATATATATATATATATATATATTATATATTGCTCATATTTATAATAACATTTACATTTATTAATCGCAACATTATTGGCTAAAATGCATTTTTAAATCTTCCTTTTAAGGAAGAAAAATATTGGTATACATATTCTGAAGTTGAGCCACCAAAATTTCATTCTAAAATATTTCACGGTTTGCCACTCTATAGAATACCGTGCCTTTCGTATGACGTCGCTGGTTGGTTAATATGTATGAATACAAAGATGGAAATCATCGGAGCCGGTTTCGTACAAAAATTAGGCTACATTCAGTGAGCCGGTCAATGTACAAAAATGAGTTTTTAGCAACAATACTTAAATCTATTAGCATTTTTCTACAGTTCTGAAACAGGGTTCCACACCTACGTTTTGAGTGTGAGGTCCTCACAGACAAATTCAGGAGTTCTTTTCTTATCAGTACGAGCAGAGCGAGTTTTCCAAGCTGTCGTACATTTGTAATCACTACATTAAAATATAAAATGGCGATAATTTACCCATCGCATCAGATATATATATATATATATATATATATATATATATGTGTGTGTGTGTGTGTGTGTGTGCGCGCAGGTGTGTGTGTTGGCAGTCTACACACACATAGTACGCCAAAAATGTATACACACTTCAAAAAAGGAAAAACTTGTATTTCGCAGTTTCAAATCGCCATAACAATTCTTTTGTGTGGAATAATTTCTCGACAAATGGCTGTAGCATCAACAACTCCTAAAAGATGTTGTATATCGCAGAACACCGCCGACATTGGCTGCCCCTAGACAAGAAAATGAAAATGCACGCGTTGCAATCCAACTAAACACTTTGGCAAACGTTGCCCAAGCAATAGTTCACCGTATTAATACATGTCTGGAAACTAAAGGCCACCATTTTGTGCATTTCTGTGATTGTAGAGACCAAAGGTAACTTGTATTAATCTCATGATGTCTGAATAAATTTAGTATTACAAAGTATACAAGTTTTTCCTTTCCTGATGTGTGTATACATTTTTGCGGAATCTGTACAAAATACGATGTGTAAATTGTCGCCATTTTAGTTTTCTTTTAATTCGCGCATACACGTTGTTTGTTTTTGTCGACTGCAGAGTATAGTAGGGTCAGTTGGGAACCGTCTCTAAGAAAAGGAGAACCATGACGCAATTCTCTCCGCCAGAAATTTGGAATGTTGTATATCGTTTGTCATTTGCACCGGAAGCTCCAATACCAACATTTCAGAGAGCATAGTTGTCAATCCGACGACAGTGCAGAGGATTTGGAAAGAGTTGGATGATTCTAATGGAGATTACGAAGGTGTTTGGTGTAATCACTAGTGATAGCGAAGTTATAGCGTCATTCCCACAGAGCCTCAGTCTCAACATGGAGTCCTACATCAAGTGTCTTGAGGAGGCAGCGCTGCCCTGAGTCAAAACTCCTTGTAACACCAAAGATGAGCTGAAGGCAAGGATTATGTCAGCATTCACCAACTTAAACATGGGAACCGTTAAAAAGAGTTGCAGAAGATTCCAGTGTATTTTAGAGGCCGTGGTTGAAGCCAATTCCAATTTTATTGAATAAATTTACTCGTTAGTATTTCAAGATAATTTTGTGCAATTTTTGGTGTATATATGTTAAAATGAGATGTCAGTGTTGTTTTCATTTTTGCAAAATAACCAAAAGTTTTCTATACAGAGTTTATTAAGACAGAGCGGAAGCGCATCACAGCGTCATCTCACAAAAGAGACAAAGTCACAGTATGAACTGAAGATATGAATTAAATCAGACAAAATTATTAAATAAAGAACAAGTAGGCAATCTTTATAGATTTGCAATGATTCGCTATTTATTCAGCTATGTTAAAAATATTTGAGATGGTGTGGGGCAGAGATGTTTCGGTAACTTGGATTCTATGTCATTTCTTTTGATTGTCCCTGTAGATATCACGTGTTCACATCCCCTTTCTACACACACAAAATCACAGATAGATAGATAGATAGATAGATAGATAGATAGATAGATAGGGAGAGAGAGAGAGAAAGAAAGATTTGAAAATGTAGGAAAGCATTCTTCTTAAAGGATCTTTTTCAACCAACACATCGCCAGAAGAATTCATTGTTAAATATTTAATTGACATGTAACAATTCGCATTGAGAGAAAAGAAAAAATATAAGGAGGAGGAGAAAAAAAGGAATCTTTGCAGAAAATCCTGTGCAGAGCTTAGTCCGCTCAGCATTGATGCATATTAGAAGCGATTTTTATTAAATTACATCAACCATCTCTGTACAGACAGAAAGAACATTTTGTTCGCCCTATCGGTCTTTTAGCAAGAATATGATAAAAGTTTTTTCCATTTTATACTCACTAGGAACCCTTCACATTGGCTCTTTTACCAGTATATTTTTCTTCCGCAACGTTTTTATTAATAAATTTCTATTTTAGTCGTCGTTCCTTTTTTTATTTTTCTATTCTACCAATTTAATTTTTGCCAACATATTCTTCTGACGAAGATTTGGTTGAAAAGGTTCCTTTAAGAATAATGCTTTCTTCCGTTTTCAAATTTATATATATAAGTTCTGCGATGTCAAACTTCTGTTATATGTATATATATATATATATATATATATATATATATATATATATATATATACAAAAAATCCAAGAATGTTGTTGCGATCAAAGGACCCCCCCTGCCAAAAAAGCTCTAAAATCTTAGACAAAAAATATCGCAAACTAAGAAAAAAAGAAAAAAAAACTTCATAAGCAGTAAATTAAAATGCTCAACGCGTTGATTATACTGACAGAGCAAAAATTGCTTCACAACGCCAACCTTCCAATGAGGCAGAGTTCGAGTTGCTACTTAAGTTTCACGGTCTCGTGATCTTCAGGCGATTAGAATCTATGTGTATAGTTTACCCTTAACGAAACACATTGATAGATAAATACGAGATTATATTTAGATATTTCAGGCTCAATCCATCCCGAAAAATCTGACGGAATGACAAAACATTAAAATTTATGGTAATACCAAGAACAGGTCGGGCTTAGAACTTTTCGATACTACCTCATATTAGAAGAGCAATTCACGCTGTCCTTGAGAAAGGAACGAAAGTTCAAGTGACAATGAAAAACCTTTGGATGTTTCAGCCTCTCTTTTGTGGATAAGCGGCTAGTGAAGTGGTATGCGGTTGGCAAAAAGCAGACGTTTAATGGTCGGGAATAGGAACATCAAAGGGTCTTTAGAAAAAGCTATCTTCTTCCCGAAACAATATCTCCATCAATTGTTAGATTGATTCGAAGAAATAGTTTTAACTCTATAATTTTCTTTTCTTTGTCCCTTTTTACGCGGTTACATCAGTCTGGTCGAATGAGTCAGAAATATAGATTAATGTATATATTAAAGGGCAAATGTTATGGGGCGAAAAAGCCTTTGGCAAATATGACTGATGATTTCTGAAAAATCTGTCCGTGTGTATACAGAAGAAAGAGACAAAACAAAACTATGAACTCTACTCAGATTCGTATTCAAGTCGGAGATTCTTGCGGGGATCAATACCTCATTTCCAGTTCATTATTATAAATAATTTGCAATGCATTTTTAAACACTAATTGAAGAATTATTTCTATTGGTTGGTTGTTTTAATTTAGCGGCATACTAACATCTCTATGGGTTATTTAATGCCGAAATCTAAATATTTTGTACGCAAGTGGATGCCTTCAAATACAGATATTTTGTACACAATTTTATACTTTCAAGGGAAACGTATGATTTATAGATATATAATTTGTAGGTTGATCTGTTTTAGGTGTTATATGTTTGGGTATAAAGTTAATTATTTAAGGTAGAACATTGACAGTTTCAGTATTTTCAAAAGTTTTCTCTCGTTTTCTTTGCAGTATTTTTTTGTTTTACAGAATCCACATGCGGCTCTGCTGAGGTGCAGTCGACTTATTCTACAGCCACAGCCAACAGGGTGGGAAACTCACTTGCAATATATTTCTATAGTAAAAGCATGACTGATGTGTATATGCTTTGTATATTAAAGGAGTGGTGCCGAGAATTCTTTGGCTTAACCCACTTCTCAAAATGAACCAAATAACGAAATAGAATTTTGGGGTAAGTGTCTTTCAGCAGACATTTACAAAATAGTGATTTTTCTATCCAATAAGAGCCAACGGATTTGAATTATACATTCATAAAATTCATTTTTAATACCATGTTCCTTAAGAACGGGGGTAGGAATGTGTCTCCTCAGATTCCTTTTCCTTTATTAGCTCTGACTTATCTGTCTATATTTCTGAGATGAGGTATTATGTACACTATTTACATTATTCGGATTATTGTCCTCATCTTTGTCGCCAATTTATTACAACGTTTCGGCCGTTCTACGCTCCGGCCTTCTTGAGGTGGTTGGAATGTCGAACTAAACCCTTTATTTCGTTCACTGGGGTAAACTGTGCCATATCTAATAAATGTCAGTTATCAGTCATCTCCTGTTAATTCCCCTCTCTAAGTTCTTCACCGCCTTAAGAGTGTGAGTTCAATTCCTGGTTAAGGCGTTGAAGAACTTTGAGAGGGGAATTAACAGGAGACAACTGATAACTGACATCCATTAAACATGGCACGAGGAACTAGAACAGTCTAACCCATATTCGGTATCGCCGTCGGGGTATTTGACATTCATCTATACAGGCAGTCAAGAGTCAAAAGAAGCGGGCAGCGTTGGAGTGGTGTCAACCTCATTGGAAATGTGAGAGTCAGATTGCACTTGAGCTCCGTGCAATCTGACTCTCACATTTCCAATGAGGTTGACACCACTCCAACAGACGATCTGATTGAAAGAAGCCACGTGGAACTAGAACAGTCTACCCCAGTGAGCGAAATAAAGGGTTTAGTTCGACATTCCAACCACCTAAAGAAGGCCGGAGCGTACAACGGCCGAAGCGTTGTAATAAATATGGCGACAAACATGAGGACAATAGTCCGAATAATGTAAATAGTGTAGCTCTGATTTGCTAAGAAAGGGAAAAGATAATGGAGTGGTTTCATCTTGCCTGCTTCATGGTTTTGAGGGGATGAATTATTTTCTACTATACAACTCCTTTCTATCAAATGTTGGTACACTCTCGCTACTCTCATGACATATATTGGGATGAATCTGCCTTGGTTCAACCAATCCACCATCAGTAATGAGGAAGTTCCACTCATTTCCCAGAATAATCGTGAAACATACTAGCCAAAGTATGCTTTCCCAATGACTAGAATCTTACCCTATTCATAATACGCACCACTTACTCCCTGCTTGTACGCTCTTACAAAACCTTATTTACTAACCCTTTACCTTGAGTGGTTACTAGCCTTTTATGTGGGTGAACAACAGTAAGAAAAATCCTATAAAATTATCCCCTATTTAAAAATCCCGATTAAGATACCTTAAAGTGAATAAATCTTCTAGGTCCTAAAGAATTCTACACGTCAACTGATCTTATATATAATCACAAATATAGAACGTTGCCAAATGATAAAAGCACATTAATTAAAAACTTTCAAAAACAGCAGAAATTACATTTGATAGCAGTTATATAACTTGAAGGAAAAATGATAATGTTGATTTAAGCAAAAATTTAGGAAGGAACCTCCTGTCAATGTCTTGTCATCATTAACCGAAAAAATTGATTCTTTTCCCTAAATAGCCTCATCCGATCTAGATTCGCATATAGATGTCATACCTGGCGGGCCACTCGTTCAGAAATGTATGAACTATCAACTATATACGAGGGTTTTCTCAGTTTAATGATTAAAAACGGTTTCAAAGCGAGTGAATCTTTCGGATCTGGAAGAGGACTGTAATTCATCTGATTTTGTAGACTGACAAGAACATTATCAAATAACCTAGACTACTTCAAAACCTTCAACAGTAGTAACAACTAAAATGGATAGCGTATGTAACTTGAAGAAAAAATACTGACATCCTCAAGATATCGATTTTGCACATTAGCTTAAAGAAAATATTGGAAATGAAGCCTATTCCTTTCTAATCCTTTTTAAGCTAATGCGGAAAGTGACATCGGCAAACCATTTAGTTGTTATAAATATTAGAAAGAATGATAACAGTGAACCAACTGTATTTAAGCGAATGTATTTCTTTATCGATTCACCCCGAGCAAAGCGATAAGGTCACTAAGACGCAAGGGGCTACCAGGAGTGAAAGAGAATGAAAAAGGATATAGAAAGAACTGGAAACCCAATCCTAACCAGAAAACAAGAGATAAACCGCTACCCCTGTTCAAATGACCAGGTAGGCGAGGGAATCGGGTGATAAGCGAACCTATGCACTCCTATTATTTCGATCAATGAATGCCGATTATTATTTTTTATGGAAACAGCGAATCTTACCATTATCATAACCATTATCAGCAGCATCATGAACTTTTCAATGACATCATTTTAATTTAAAGATCAAGAGCGATTTCACAATTATTTAATGTACGTATACTTTTGAAGTATTGGTATTTCTTTCTATTTTTTTTTTTTTATGTGCCAAGAAACAGAATGATAATACAGACGTTGTTTGGACGTTAATGTTTAATGTCGTCGAAAGATAAATGATTATCGCCCTCTTGTGCAATTTGCTTGCACAGCAACACGATGTTTTTAAATTTAAATTTTCTAAAATTTCGGAAAATGCATAGGAAAATGTGATAACATTGATTTGTGTGTAGGCAATTTTCAGCTATTTCTATGCTTTATACAGATAAAAAAGATAAGAATTTGATGTAGCTGACTTGACGAACGCTAAGTAATGTTTCATTTTGTTAGGCTGTACGAAAAATAAAGTCCGATTTTTAGAACCACCTCTTATTTCCAAATAAATGTATTTAGACAGTGTTTAAAACAGTCAAAATACCAGCCCTGGACATCTATACATTTCTACCATCGAGTTACAAGGTTATTTATGCCTTTACGATAAAACGCTAAAGATCTGGATAGCAAGGAATCATTTAATGCAGTTTCACCATCTTCTTTGCAACGGAATATCTTTTGGCTAAAAAATTGTCAAGATGCTTGAAAATGTGGTAGTCACTGGTTGAGAGATCCAGGAAATATGGTGGATGTTTTAAAGTCTTGTATCCCAAGTTGGTGAGCTTTTGCAGTGTCATTGTGACAACATGTGGCAAAGCAATGATATGATGCAGAGTAGGACCTATCGCCAGCTTCACAATCGATTAACCAGTCGCATTATGATTAACTGAATATGCATTTCATCCACTTGAAATGACGCTCTGGATAGATTCAAGAAAGTTGCAATAGATAAAGCCAAAGGTGTGCCACCAGACAGTCACCCTAGTATTCGGTTGGTGCAATTTCAGTTTTGGAAAGGGTTTAGGTCTTTCGTCATGATCAAGCCAATTAGCCGATCGTTTACGATTGTCATAAAGAAGCCTATTTCTCATCAAAAGCCTCTAATCAATCAAGAAATGGATCATTCGACTTTCGCAGATGTAATATCGAACACACTTCAAAACAAGGTCGGAAACTTTGACTTTCACTGAGTTCATGTGGGACCCATTTATCGAGTTTCTTCCTTAGATGATCAATTATTGTACCGACAGAAGAGGAAGAGAAAATACATTCATTTTTTTTTACCCAGGGAATAAGAAAAATAAAATGAAGACAACAGCCTATTCAGAATTCGAACACAGCACACTGATTTACCATCCGTGCCATTAGCCATTACGCTAATTGCAAATCGGTTGCATTAACGGCGACATAAAAAAATAATATATTCTAAAGAGAATTAACAAGGGAACCCATATACCGAATATCTTCATATAAAGATGAAGAATAGACTTGAAGTAACAGAAGCGTAGTGGTGATACCATGGACCGCACATATGAGCAACAACGAAGTTTTAGAGAAAATGGAACAATAAGGAAGCTTATACTTAACACCAGGTGGATACAGTTGGTAAATATGGACAAACGAAAACAACGCGCATTATATATATATATATATATATATATATATATATATATTAGAGATGAGCCGATTCCACTACCTAGATTTCAAGATTTCGTTATCTTCAGGAGATTCTGGTCAATTGATTTATTTTTTTTTAAATTAATGAAAGCTTGTTATTTAAAAATAAACAAACGTCTTACGTGAAGTATGATAGAAGGGAGAGGAGGAGAAAGGCAAATGTATCAGTGTGTGTGGGGGGCGGGGGGGTAAATGAAATGTGCATACTTTCTTTTTATCCTAGTTCATACGCACTCAATGAATTTTTAATGTGTTTGCAACGCGTCACAATTTCTGATCTCTCATTTAAAAGATTTTGGCCTGGAAATGTTATTATTGCTAACTTTTCTTGTTGACAAAGGTTGCAAATATTACTACGGTTGTTGTAATTTTTTTTTTTTTTTTTGTTTATTTTTAAATTTACAGTTTACAATCGGATCTTGCTTATTTTTTTCTTTTAACTTCCACACATGGTTGACTAGTCTGGTAGAATTTTTAAGACATTCCAGCTTGAATAGATTATACATACATGCATACGTACATATATATATATATATATATATATATATATATATATATATATATATATATATATATAATTTACGTATCTTCAGATATCTATATTCTAATAAAATTATGACAGAATGTACTCAATCTCCCTATATATAATACGCAGGCATGTTTTTGTGCGTGCGTCTGATGTCTTCAATTACACGCATCTCCCATTATCTTTGAAGCAGGAAAATATCGAAAGATGAGCCGAGAGTTGGATCAAACAATGGGATTTGTGTAGATGCGTTAGAACAGATCTTTGTTGTATGTCGGATTCGGGTTTGGGAAGGAAAGAGAAAAGAGAATCTCGGGAAAAAGTATAAAAAGGCAAAATGCTTTCGTCTTTGGAAGAAAAATGTGGTGGGTGGGCTGGAGATGGAGTCATTGCTCTGCCTCTTTCGGTTCGTCCTCGCTGAGCGCGGCTTAATCGAAGTGGAGATATTGTGTTGGACGAGGACTGACAGAGTTGCATCCCCTTGCCTAATGCAACATCAAAGGGAATGGCCGATAAAGAGTCTGGATAATCCATCAAACGTAAAGAAGAAGTAGTAAAAGGAGAAAATACCCGAGAAGAGGGGGGTTGAAATGAATGAGTGTAGAAGAAAGAAAGGGAGAACGACTTCAGGAGAGTGAAAAAGAGAAAGAAAAATGTGAGTGATCTAGAAAGAAAGAGAATAGAAAGAAAGAAAAATTAAACATTAAAAACATATGAAAGAAAGACATAAAGAAAATATAGGCCAGCCAGACAGAAAAGAATATATAGAGAAAAATAATTAAGGAGAAAGATAAAGGAAGAAAAGACAGTGGTAAAGAAAGATAAAGGAAGAAAAGGGAGTGGTAAAGAGAGACAAAGGAAGAAAAGGGAGTGGTAAAGAAAGATAAAGGACGAAAAGAGAGTGGTAAAGAAAGACAAAGGACGAAAAGGACGAAAAGAAAAGGGGTAAAGAAAGAAAAGAGGACGAAAATAAAGGAAGAAAAGGGTAAAGAGAGACAAAAATGGGAAGAAAAAAGGAAGAAAAGGAGTGGTAAAGAAAGATAAAGAAAAAGATAAAGAAAAGAAAAAGGACGAAAAGGGGAGTGGTAAAGAAAGATAAAGGAAGAAAAGGAGGGTAAAGAAAGATAAAGAAAGAAAAGAGAGGTAAAGGGAAGAAAAGGGAAAGGAAAGAGGAAGAAAAATGGAGTGGTAAAGAGAGACAAAGGAAGAAAAGGGAGTGGTAAAGAAAGATAAAGGAAGAAAAGGGAGTAGTAAAGAAAGAAAAGCAGCCAGAGAACGATAAAAGTGTAAATAACATAAAAATTAAAGGAAGCTAATGGGTTGAAGAAAAAAAGATATAAACTAAAACAACAAGAAAACAATGACAAAAAAAATAAGTTGAAAGAGTAAATGGAAAAAAGACAAAATAAGAAGCGAAAAAGAGACGGAAAAAAGAAAGAAGATAAGAAACAAAGAAAGATTAAATCCACACGAATCAAGGGATGAAGAAAAGCAAAGAATCATATGAAACAGAGACAGGGATGGAGCAATAACATAAAATGAATAAAAAGAGAAGAGAAAAGTTAAGGTAAATAACAAACGAATGGGAGAAGAAAGAAAGAAGGAAAGAAAGAAAACAGTAAATAAACATCAAATAAAGAATAACGTTTAATGAATATATAGATTAAAAATGAAAGAAATTCTAAAACGGAAAAAAAGAAAGAAAGGGATTAGAGAAGAAAAAAGGAACAACGAATAAAAACAAACAGAAAGAAGAGAAAAATAATGGGAGATGTAAAAAAAGAGCGAAAGGAAGAAGAAAAGAAGGGAAAGTCATAATTTGAATATTAGCAAAAAAGAAAGAAATGATTAATGAAGGCAGAAAGAAAAGAGAGAAAGACGAAAAATAAATAAATAAATAAAAATACAAAAAATGAAGTAAAAAATGAAAAAATGAAAAGAATATAAACGATGAAAGAAAATGAAGATGAAGAATAAAAATAATGAAAAATAGTTAAAAGAATTCAAGACGAAAGTATATCACAGAAAATGAGTTCAAAGCATCTTTGACAGAATAAAGAGTTTGAAACTGTATGTCTAAAATATAGCTTTATTTTAAACCTTAAAAATATCCAGTTCAAAGAACGTTAAAAAATTTTAAGCTGCTAAATTATATCTTTTTGAAATGGAGAATGAATATATATATATATATATATATATATATGTATATATATATATATGTGTGTGTGTGTGTGTGTGTGTGTGTGTGTGTGTGTGTGTGTGTGTGTGTGTGTGTGTGTTTTGAACAATAAAAAATATTCAAAAACTAAAATTTTCAGACGCACTGGGTTGTATATTAATGTTTTTTGTTTTATTATTTCAATTAGGTTCCTCGACTAGTTTCGGCCAGCATGGCCATCATCAGGAGGACAAAAAAATTCCTTGATTGTTAGTAGCAGTGAACTACAGGAATAAATGACTATTTCTGAAGAAAGTGAACTTTATCTGTAGTTTTCTCTTGTTTTTTTTTTATCGTTAATTTTGGTCAGTCCTTGTGTTTGTCAAACGGCATCTTTCAAGTTGTTTTTAAGAGAGAAGATGGGAGATTCCTTACTTTCAAAATTCCTAACTTGGTCATTTTGTCAGTTTTATTGGTTGCTGGTTGTGTGTGTTACGTGTATGTTATCTTCTATTTCTTTGGAAGTGTGTATGATGTGTGTATGTGTATATATTTGTGTGAGTGTGTGTATAAGTGTGAGACCTCAACACCTCTACAAGCATGGCTGTCTTGTGTGGGTGGGAAATATGGGTAGGGGTTGATTTATGGGATTATATGTAAATTTGTGTTTAAGCCCGTCTGGACGAAGTATTTTTCAGGCGCAAAATCTATTTGTGTTCATGTTTCTCTAATATTTTTTAAGGTTATCTTTTCTGTCTATTTCTATTTTTTCAATTATAGTGAATTTTGCATGGCTTTCAAAATCATGTCTTTCTAGGCGGAAATGTTGTTCTACAGGTAATAACCTTTATTGGGAAGCCAAGTTGATCAGATGGTGATAATTATTAATTCTGTAGTGAAAGGGCCATTCAGATTTTCCCACATATTGTGTCTGGCATTCTAATAGGTAAATTATTTTATGACTTTTACAGTTGTGGAAGATTTTGAAAGTAGATTTAGTGACTGAGCCAGAGAACGAATTGGTATGTTTAATGTGGTTTACAACATATATATATATATATATATATATATATATATATATATATATATATATATAGAGAGAGAGAGAGAGAGAGAGAGAGAGAGAGAAAAAGAGAAGCTTCAAACGTTTTTGGTTATAATGTGGATTTTAAAAATATATTATACTTTATTTTCCATATTATTTGGGTTTTGTGAATTTCATCAGGTGAACAATTCTGATTTCGGCATATTATTTAAAGGATTTTTTTTCTATGTTAAGTCTTTTCACCATTGTCTTTTGTATATGGAAGTAGTCATCTGAATCCATCTTGGACTGGCCGAAAAAATGTTCCTTTGCTTGAAGGGTATTAAAGCGAGAAAAAAAAAATTTTTTTATAATGTAGATTTTTTATATACTTTATTCTAAAGTTTTGCTACACGTGTTTCGGATCTTGTGACTTTCATGAAGCGAAGATTAGTTATTTCCACATATTATTTAAGGGATTTATTTTCTTATGTTTTCTCACGTTTAACTTTTGTGTGTGGTAGTAATCCCAATTCTTGGACTGGTGGAAAAATCTTACTTAGCTTAAGGTTTAATACATACATACATACATACATACATACATACATACATATATATATATATATATATATATATAGATATATATATATATATAAGTGCGCGGGTATTCAGAAAATAGAAAAGAATACGTTCCTTAGTATTTTTGTTTTTATTTTTAAGAAGACAGTGCTCCATACAGAAGTAGAGCATATATTATAATATTTTTTGTTTAATAATATGATTCCTTCGCTACATAAGAGTTCTCATGTTTCCAAAACGAGAGCCGAAATCATCCAAATAATTGTTACAATTAAGTTGAATTGAGATGTTTATTCTCGTTTCATCTTCAAGCGAAATTTTAGGAAGCTAATTTTAGAATCCAGGTATAACTCAATGTCCAGGACAGAGTAAAGATATAATAAAAAGGCTTACACACTAATATTCCATGCTCATAATTTATTCCTTTGGAATCGCAAATACGATCCAATTCATTTTGTTAAATTTTCTTAATTACACAGCGGCCCTTTCAGTAAATGCCCTTCAGTTTTAGTTTCCCCCGCCCCATCTCTCTCCCCCACCCCTTTTTCTTTTCATTTCCTCTCCCTCCCTCTTCTTCTGATCTTTAAGATTTGATCGTCTATATTGTGTGTGTATGTTACCACAAAATGTATCCTTTCCGGTTACATCTTTAATGTATCAGACATCCGACAACATTCATATTTCTCTCACTTAAACCGTCTTCAACTCACCTCTCTAAAACTTCTCTCTGTTAAGTTTTAATCTCCCACCTTCTCTCGTCTGTTACTCCTCTCTTTAGCTCTGACATTCGTCCCACACTCTCCTACTTACACTCTCTCTAAATTCTATTTTTATTTCCGGAGTTGTTTTTTCTGTTTTCCTTTTGAATTTGTAGATCTGATGAATTGGATCGTATTTAAGATTCCAATGGAATAAAGTATGACCATGGAATATTAGTGTTTAAGCCTTTTTATTATATATATATATATATTATGGCAAGGAATAAGCGGAATGTAAAGGACATAATTATGAAAACTAAGAACTAAAACAAACAACCGGTTTCGTCCCAGTACTCCTCAAGTTTGATACACTGGGATTATTTAATCATAAACTTAAAAACAAAAAAAAAAACATTCAATGAGGGGGAAAGGGAAAAAAAAATTGATATGATAGAAAGAACTAGAGCCCAATCACATTCAAGCCCAACAAGCAATCTCTCTGCTTACAGAGAAACGGCCTGCGGGACTTGATGTAAATGGACTCAAGAACCTTCAAATGATATGCAGAGTGTGACTTCGCCAGAATGGAAAAACAGTCAACACTCAAACCAGAATTTTAAATCCGGCCGCTAACAAAAGCCAACTAGTGAATACATCCGGGTCATCTATAGCGGAACACGCTATAACTAGCAGGGAAAGTTCTATTTTGCATTTAAAGCACACTCACTCGTTTCGATTTTTCTCGAAAGGCATATCTGCTCAGTTCCGCATCCGAATCGTAAACAAAGCAATTTTTAAAGAATTAATGAATTTTAATTTTTAATCAGATATTTTTTTTTATTATTTCAAACGTTATTTTTATTGGTTACTTGTATTCGAGTAGGCGATTTGTTTATTTTAAATGCTATTTATTTCGGCCAAGTTAATTAAACATTTTCTGGAATCAAATAAGTGTTAAAATACGGTTTTAAAATAAAAGAATTTCATGTTAATGTCTAAATGACACGTTATTTTAAGCGATCGTAATGTTTAATAAAATGAACGTGAGAAAGTTTAAAGCTGAGTAACTTTGAATAAAATGTTCTGTTCATTTCCACACATTCGAAAAACAAAAGATGTTTAATAATTCTTTTAATGAAAAATTCATTTTTCAAATTATGAATATAGCTCGTATTAACAGCGTATACATTCCGGGACACATGAGTCATACAAACGTATATAATGGTTGTGACTCGATATCACACAAGGCGCTCGTTTGAGCCATTTCCAATTCTAGGCAGCGTGGATATAGCGTTTCAATCCTTCCACGCTCATACATTCTCTTGCACAGATGTGGCAAACGTTGGGCATTTTTGTAATAGTTGTTACGTCAATGCTGCATAACTTGCAATAAATGACCCCCTTCTCTCTCTCTCACACACACTCTCTCTCTTTCTTTCTCTCTCTCTCTCTCTCTCTATATATATATATATATATATATATATATATATATATATATATATATATATATATGAAAAATTAAGAGATCAGTCATTTACGCTACTTTCGTTTCAAACTTTCGTTATCTTTAGCCCGGATCGCCTGAAGATACCGAAAGCTTGAAACTCAAGGTAACGTGAGTGGCCGATCTACTTTTTTTTTCAAATTTAAAAGCTCAGCATGTTAGATTTCTTTTCTTTATACGTGTATTGAGCGCTTTTTGATACTACTGTTTCCTGGTCTGATTCAACTGACCAATAACTTTTTATAATTATATATATATATATATATATATATATATATATATATATATATATATATATATATGAGAGTGTGTGTGTGTGTGTGTGTGTGTGTGTGTGTGTGTGTGTGTGTGTGTGTGTAAAATAAATCTAATAAATTACAGACATTATGGCTGATAATTTTAACAAAAACAGTTCATACTCACGAATAACCTTCCGTGTATTGATGTTAAAGGATGCGAGAAATGTGCTATAGCAGTTTAAATTTCTTTTATTTTCATTTCCCAAGTACTTTCGATTTTTTCCCAAGATCATCCTCAGGGGTGCAAGTAATACAAAACTATATGTTGTTCATTAATATAAGTGTTTATACAAAGTTGTGCGTTGTTATGCATTACCATAATCTTTTCATTATGGTTTTACATGCAAAACGGTTGACAATGTGCTGAGCGTTCTTTAGAACGTGAAAAAATTATCCATTTTGGAATTTTTTCTCTCTAGGTTATAGGAAATTTAAACAGCTATAGCACATTTCTCTCATCATGTAATATCAATACACGGAAGGTTATTCGTGAGTATGAACGGATTTTGTCAAAAATTATCAGACATAATATCTGTAATTTATTAGATTTAATT